AAAATATGAACGTCCTTAGTAGCTGCGTGTCGACACCTGTCCTTCAAGACTGAGACTGCCCTTCTTTTCACCTCGGAGCCGGCGGATGGTCTGCCAGAATACTTTGCCATGCGGAAATTCGACTCCAACACCTCACCGAACTTCTCCCAGGATTGAGTTTTTGCTTTCGTTATCGCCTAGCGTGCCTCGACTTATCGCGCGGGAGTAGAAGGCTCTTTGTTGTCATTTCTTGAACGCTGCTTTTTTTCTTTAACTGCCAGTTGTACGTCTCGTGTCTACCATGATGATCTTCTCTGACCTCCAGGCGGCAGACCAACCCGTTTAAATCCGTAGCATTTGGCGGCAGCCTCGAGTAGGGCGCTCTTAAAGAGCTGCCACGCGGTTTCAACATCCGTGATCATCAGCGAGATCTGTTCAAACCGTCGTGCGATGTTGTTTGCAAATTTCGCACTCGGTCCACCAAAGATAATGCTTCCCATTTGATTCTCCGGTTGGTTCTGCCACCAGATCTTCATATGGTAGTCCATTTCTTACAGCTAGGCGTAGAGCTGCCATTCGCATTCCTCATCAGTTGTCATCACCGGGAACAGTTCGTAGCGTCCTGCGATGTCGCTTGCAAATTTCGCTCTCGTGTGCACCGAAGATAATGTTTCCCATTTCATTCCCTGGTTGGTTCTATCACCAGATCTTCGTATGGTACTCCATTTCTTACAGCGAAGCGTGCCAGCAACAGGATGATAATCGGTTGATAGCTCTGCGTCATCGTTTGCGCGAACTTTCATTACAGAGAGTCTTTGATCACGCAATACGATTATCAAATCCATCGTCGACTTCTGTGCTCAGTTTTCCCGGTAGCGGGTATACTGATGCATTCTTCGATACTCGAAAAAGGTGTTCATAATGGACAGTCCGTTGTTTCCGTCAGATTCATGCCGTTAATACTGAGGTCGCTAGGGCCGTTTTTCCCAATGTCGCTGCTTTGCTTTTCAGTGTCTATTCCGACATGCGCAATAAAATTGCCCACTAGTGTACGGTACTCTGTATTCGGCACTTCGTATAGAGCACACTGTACTTGCTCAAGGAAGGTATATTTTCCCTCCAAATATGAACGCAAATACCTGTTCCAAGGTCAACGGTTTTAGCCTATCTTGTCGTCAGTCGCAGGAGTCCCACCCTCCCACTGTTAGGCTTCCAATCAATGATTCTATCTGGGAGGTTGGGTTCTACCAGAATATCAACATCGGCCAGAGGTTCATCGTGGTATCGACTCTTAATTAGAAGAGCTTCCATCCGCAGAGATTCAAGATTCCAGAGCCTTAGCTCTTCGTTGATGAGAGTCCAACAATATCGAGTTGGTACTTTATGGCCTGATCATGTAACTTAACTCTTGTTGTTTCTCTCTGAGTGAGGATATATTCTAATTTCCGTCTGTATGCTCCCTTTGGGTGTCGTTGCCGTTGTAACCTTTTCGGACGTGCTATAATGGCATCGCGCTGTCTCACTCATCCGTTCAGAACGAGTAGCGACTCCGCTGTTGACTGGTATCTTCGAGTCGCTCCGTCAGTCTTCGTCAGCCGTTGTTTTGCTGCTATCGCCCGGCTGGCAGAGGGCGATAAGCAGGTTCTGAGTGCCTTTTTGTTGCAGACTCTCGCAGTCACCCAACAGCCTACGCGGTCCTTGATAACCCTAGCGACGACCGAGCCGGTATAATTTTCGATGGCGTCATAACCATGATTGATAGGTTGAGAAATTTTAAGGAAACTTAGCGACTGTCTCCAGCCCTCCTGCGTTTTCAGCCGTGCTTGGGACCGGCAACGGCGGGGTTGCATCCAACGTTCATGAAGAATTATTTCATATTCACTAAGTACTCCATTTTTAGCCACTACTTTAAACTGCGCGATTTTTCCACAGTTGATTGTCATGTCGGACTGTGCAAAAATTTTATTGGTTTGGCATAGGTTCGTTTTGATTTCCCAGTGGGTGTCTTTGGCATTTTAGATCATTGAGTTACTCTGGTTTGAAATTGAATTTGGTTTTAGGTTGATTAAAGGGTTGTAATATAGCGCATAAATTTTATATTTTGTATGCTAAGGAATTATACAGTATGAATGCTGCGTTATCATATATGTTCTAAGCAAGCCCATATTCCTGTCTACGAAAAGAAGCTGCGTCTGATTTCTTTTTAATTATACGCTGTAATTTGTTGAGGCAGTGTCAACCCTGAATAATCATGTCGCGGTGTGGTTTTGTTATACTATAACATTTTCAGTGCGTTGTTCCGTATTATGTTGGAGAAAAATAATCTGTTGGAAGACTAGTTTATCATGCGGTACTAACCAAATGCAAGTTTTTTATATCGCTACCGTAGGGGTATTGTTCATCCTGAGGATGACTAACGCAATTTCACTGAAGCACCGACACAGTAAATGCTGCCTGCTGTATGCTTCTTTATGTTTAAAGCTGTTAAAGTGGGAATTTGTCACTCTTTTCTAAGGTTCGGGATTTTCCTATATGCGCACTTATATTTAGAAGTTTCAAGTCTAGGAATATATAGGTTATGGCTTTGTACGAAGATGTGGTGTTCCGCAGCAGCTGAGTCATGTATATCAGAAAATTTGCTATGGTCTTTAGCCTGAGAGAAGAAGTGTATTACATTGTTTATAAATAAATCGCTTTATGCTGTATTTCCGCCTGACTACTGACGCTCGAACAAAATATTCAGTCAAATCAAGATATACGACTGAATGAACCAGACATGGGAAAGAATTTGCAGTCATAGATTTCGTTAAAATATTTGAAAAAATTAGAAACATGCAAATATTCTGACTGAACATTTAACGTTTGAAACTTAATTACTAAGACGAAATTACATACAAGCGTCATGTTTCAACAGAAAAATATTATAGATATGAGGAATGCAGCACAAAAATAAGTGTTAAACAACAAAGTGTCAGAGCTGTCGCAGTCAAAATTGTTCCGCTATAATGGACTAACATTAAAAATTTTTATGTTGCTCAGCTTTATAATTACAAAGGGGTGAATCATACGATTAAATACATACAGCAATCAGCTGTATCAAGCCGGGAATGCAACAAAAATTGCAGAGCAAGCGAGTGAAGTCAATATCTTCTGTGGCTTGTGGAATCAATAGGAAGACATGCATAGACATGCATTAAAAATCGAAATGAATTCTCAGTTCGTGGTACCTTAAGACAAGATGAGACTTAATTGTAGCTAACAGTAATATTTCTCATATTCGGATTATATGCAAAGGATAAATGCTGTTATGAAACATTCTATTAGCTATATGATGTAGTTTGATGATTAACAGTGGGAATCCCTTGGAAGCAGAATATTTAAAATCAGAAACATCATCAAAAATTTTTGAAATTTAATTTTTTGATTAAATCTTATAACTGTAATTCAAGAGGTGATAGTAGCTTTGATGCATTTGCACATTGGTCCAAAACCGCAAATGAAACTGTTCTGGTAGCATTCATGAAAGTGATAAAGCAAGCTTCCTAGCACAATCTGCTGAGCTGAGGCATCACGAGGTCGTATAAATGGTTAGCATAAAGATATTCAATATACACCGATGAGTCAGTAGAGTTTTTACGTGTAAAAAGTTTATAAATAGTTAGATAAAAATGCATTTTGATTCTTACAATTTGGCTAAGAGTTTTTGAAATCCTGTTATGGCTGCGGTGTATACGAAGAATTTTATTAGTACCGCCTGCGAATGGAACACGATAGAAACTTGTCAAGCACTTATTGTACGACTCTCTTGCTTGTATTCATTACAGCCTGAGTACTTTTTTACGTAAATTTAAGTTATCAGTGAACCGATGTTGA